ACATGAGAAATTGTGAAATTTATGAAAAGTTGCGACTTTAATGAAGAGTTGTGACTTTTATGAGAAGTTGTGACTTTTATGAAAAGTTGTGACTTCAATGAAGAGTTGCGACTTTTATGAAAAGTTATGAATTTTATGAAAGAGTTGTGACCTTTCCGAAGGGTTGCAACTTTTCCAAAAAGTCGTAACATTTCTGATAAGACACAATAAACATTTGTTCACACTACCCTTTTTGTCAATAAATAGTGATTTCCTCTCATTTTAAAACACGAAAGCTTTGAACCTCTTCTTCTTCTTCACAATTAAATATTTGTGTACTTTGCTCATGTTGAGTGGCTCACTGACACCATTGCTTATGTTACAGATCCTGGATGTATATTTAAAGTCATAATTTATGCTTATGTTATTAAGGATAAATGATAAGATATAACAATTTTCATTTTTTCTTTACATTATTAATGTTTGTTACTACGTAATCTTGTATGTAAAATAATATAGTGTTTTAGTTTTAATGACCAGTAGATTTTTAAATATTATTTTATAAATTTCATGATATTAAATTAAATTCTCGCGCGAAGCGCGGGTAATTTTACTAGTATATATATATATATATATATATACATATTATAGATGTCCAAACATAAAAAAAATAAACTAAATCATAATGAAAATAACTAAAAATGGACAAAAGTGGTTAACTCCAATTTAATTATAAACACACACACACACACACACATATATATATATATATATATATATATATATATAAAAATTGGGTTTTTCGATTTTCGTTTTTCTAATTCCGAAACCAAACCAAAAAATCAAACAAAGTAAATTATAAATCCAAAACCAAACCAGAAATCCAAAAAACCAATCCAAATTAGAATTCGGTTTGATTTGGTTTGGTTTTTTGATTTAATCCAAATAGTGCACATCCCTAGTCCAAGGTTCAACCCCAACCAAGTACCCTAAAGTCAAATTAAAAATAGCCAAAAAAAAATGGACGAAAATCCCTTAAACTCTCTCTTCCTCTTCCAATCGCTTGCAAGTTTTATACAATATCCATTAGGGAAAAGGTACAAGTACCCCCCTAGACTATGACCGAAATTCCTAAGACACACCTCAACTTAGCTTAGGTTCTATTACCCCCCCTAAGCCATTTTTTTGTAATTTTGTACACCATTTTGGCTTACGTGGCATCCAAATATCTCTCACGCGCCTCAATTGCGTGGATTCATGGAGTGTGCCATGTAAGCCAAAAGGTGTACAAAAATTACAAAAAAAATGAGTTCAGCGGTGTAATAGGACCTTAGTTTAGTTAAGGTGTGTCTCTGAGATTTCCGTCGTACTCTAATAGGTACTTGTGCCTTATCCCTATCCATTAACAAGGTAAGTAATTTTTTATCTCCTGATGCAGAATGAAAGTGGCTGAAGTTGTTATGTTAGCATTTTAGTCCTGAAGTTATAATAGTATTATATCTTTTTTAATTACACTTTGTCATCTTTGTATGATCTAGCATAGCTCTGTTAGTTTCAGTAGGTGAGGACACTGGTGCAAGCATACTTTATGAATCAGCTAGGATAATGGTCCTATATATTGTACTGATGAAAATGAAATGGTATTATCTTGTTTGCCACATATCCCTTACTCGTAAATTAGCTTAGCTACTACTCTTTATTCCTTTTTTTCTATTTCTTGAATCTCTCTTTTACTACTATTCTATTGATAATTGTTTCATTGGATATGCATTTTATTTGGTATCACAACATAGTCTTGAGCTCTGTGGTGTTATCATGGCTACAAATATGACTGATATCAAATCGATGTTAGAGAGAATGACTCTTGATATAGCTAATCTCTCATTCAGGCAAACTCAAATGGAGGATTATCATGAAAAATCCTTTGCAACCTTGAAGGAATCTTTAGAGGTAGCAAAGATGACAGATAAAGGAAATAGAGCAAAAGTAACAGAGGGTGGTGGAGACATCTATACTACACCTGGGAACGTGTAGCTTGGATGAATCACAATTATTGCATGAAACAATCACCAGGAATAAATCCTTTTGGGTGGGGGTATGTGCCTCCTTTTCAAGCTAATATGGAAGAAACCATACCTCCTGGACATACTTCACAAGGGATGAATCAAGGACCACATATTGCAGGACCTCAAGGAGGAGTATCATTTGGAGCATCACTTGGAAACTGCTCAAGAAACAAATCAGTGACCAGTTGCACCAAAATGGAAATTCCTAGGTTTAATGGAACTAATCTTAGAGCATGGTTGTGTAAGGTGGAGCAATAGTTTTTGATGGATAAGGTAGTTTACAATCAGAAGGTTAATGTAGCATACATTTATTTTGATGATATAGCTATAGAATGGCATCTTGCTTATCTAAAAAGTAGATCTCCCTTACCTTACCCTGCTTGGGAGGAGTATGTTTATGCTCTAATTGACAGATTTGGGGCTGAGTATGCTGACCCTATGTCTGAACTTAAAATATTCAAGTAGGTTGGTGTGGTTGATGAGTATCAAAAGGAGTTTGATAGGATTATGACCTGATTGGTTATTCTCCTTAAGTATGCTATTAGTTCTTTTATTACTGGTTTGAAACCTGAGATTGGGTTTACTATTAAGAACCATAGGCCTTATTCTTCACCACAAGCTTATCAGTTAGCAAGGAATATTGAGGCTCGGGTAAATTCCCAGTTGAAGTTG